CAGCGAAAGTATGCGGCGGCCGAAGAGATACTGAAATTTCTGAATTATCGCAGCGCACGTTTGGTTTGTGTTTGAGATTTATTTTTGATTCGGCGCATTCTTCGAGAATTGCTATTAATTGAGAGGGCACAATAAATTATAATGATCCGTTATAAGAGGGAAAGACAGACGTGGAATTTGCACCCGCCTGCTAAAAATGACCCTTCTCCGTGCCCCTCATAATGTAAATATGCATTTTTATGCTTTTTCTGCTGCAGCAGAGATTCAAAAGATTTATTTTCACAATTCTGTATCTGCGTGAAAGCTCGAGTATTTTTCCAAGCTTTTCAAAAATTCAGCGACTAAGATCAAGGAACTGTTTCCTGCCCGTGTGGTATCCCACAAATTTAAGTTCAGCCGTCTAGCGCGTTTGGGTTTCACGGATTTCAGGCACGTGCGTTTGAAAGTTTTAGCGGCAAATTTTCTAATTCAGAAGTAAGATAGGGCACTGAAAAGTTTGCAAGATACATTCTGTCCGTACGCTACATTGTAAATTTAATTTTATCTTCCGTACGTCCAAATCTCACGTACGAATACTTGATAGTTCAGGCAAGAAGTTCTTGGCATTTTTCCAGCTTTGCTGAGCAGAGCCACTGTGCAAAACGCGTTTCTTCACCGGTTTTCTGATGCAGACTGCCACTTTTTTGTCATTTAATCACCAGCTTTAGCTTTCCTATTTAGCCCATTTATTTATTTTTCAATGTTATTTAGTCTTTTTGGATCTGTTTTTCAGTTTTCAGTGCACTTTATGCCAATTTTGGCAGAAAAAAAAATTGGGAAAAAATTTCTCCATGCTGCTGTTTCGATTTAGGGCTTGCAAAAACAACACTTTATCAATTTATGAACGGCCCAGAAATGACGAATTCTGATGATTTTCATGAAAATGTAATATCAGCAAAATGAATAATTTTTTTTTTTTTGCAGCAAAAATTTCTGAAGAATCGCCTGCTCGAATTCATCAATCACCCGGATAGCCGTGTTGTGGAGCTTCTTCTGACTTATGGTGCCAATATATATGAATGTAATGAGAAAGGACAGTCGGTGTTTCACAGGCTGGGCGAGAATCGAAATCAAACATTAGCCGTAGCTACAGCCACCAAATTGCTGCAGATGAGGGTGGTTGTAATGTCATTTTTGAATGCTGAAGATTACCGATCTCGCACTGCACTCCAACTAGCTTGCAACAAGCGTAACTGGTCTTTGGCCAAGTAAGCCCCCGTTTCAGTTATTTCTGAAGCTGTGTTTGTTTTCTCGCCGCTAATTGCATCTAATTTGCGCGCAGAAACGTTGAGAGTGCTGCTGAATCGGCCGGCAGAAAGAAAGCCCGGTATGCCTCAGCACGGTTTATGGAGGGAGGCTCAGAGCTCTAATTGTTCACCCTTTACACTATTGAAGGTTAAAAGAGAATATCAGGAGAAGGAAACAATGAAAAGAAGAAAAGGATATTAAGGTAGGTAAGGGGTATTAAAAAAAATATTTGTAACAGTTAAGAAATGTTTCCGTCCATTAAGTCGTATACATTTCTTACCGTTACCACAATTGGACCTCATTGTCAGTACAACGATTGTGGTAACACAACGCTACTCTTCTGCTCATCTCTGCTTCCACTAGTCGGAAATTCAATATATTTTTTGTCCTTTCATTTTTAGTGCCTAAATGTGCAAAAAAAAAAATTTTTTTTTGACGAATCTTCACTTGGCCAGAAGTCTGAAAATCGCCAGGTCTGGTTGAACGATTTTCGCTTGCAAACTTGTCGTTAAATGGAACTTTGCTTAGCGTTCGAAAATTCCACATTTGCAGCAATTTTGCAAAATGCAGAACTGTATGCAAATTTTCAAATGAAGAGCACATGGCGGAGTGTTAGTTGAGCAACAGCAACCAGTAATAAAACGGGTGGCCACGCCGGAGGTCGTATCGGCATTTGTTCTAATAAATTTTGACTCATCTCGTCAGCTTAAAGCTGCTCTTACTGGAATAATTTACTGTATTTAAGCAGATAAGTTGAGTACAACGAGTGTCTGCAATTACGAATCACACTTTGTGGCTTTTACTTTCTGTTTTCCGGGAGAGGGAAGAGAGTGACGAGGGATGGGGCAGTCCTGTTGAGAATTGTTAACGTGTGTTAGCAGCAGTTTGCTGCATTAGCTCAAATGCTGCTGCTGCTGCCATGCTGCACTAATTATATTTGACGCAATGAGTGAGGCTGGCGCATTTCATTTGATTTAGAACTAGTGCAAGTCTCTCTCCGAATCCATTAAAACCATCAAGATCTCGCCACATTTTTTCACTGAAAACATCGTTTTTCCTTAAATTAAGGAGGTGACGAGCGATTTAAAGGGCACGAGAGAGAGGGAGGAAAGCAAGGAGCGGGGGGAGGAGGGGAGGGGGAGGAGGATTGGGGGAAGCCAGGTGGACAAATCACTGTTTCAAATAATTAGCTAACGCACGGGCTGCCCGTGCGAAAATGCGTTTTTTGCATAGCTGCCCGCAGATTTTTGTCGCTAACAGCACTGGTTTTTCCGGAAGATGTTTCTAGCTAAAAGAATTTCAGACTGGCCGACAGAATTATCGGGAAACATCACTTCAAAATTCCAACAGCTTCTCACCTTCTCAAGTTAGCAACTTACCCGAAGGAAAACTTCACAGGTCCGTACGTAGGTACCACGCTTACCCGCGGGCAGAGTTTGAACTCGTTAATACCCATTTGGACAGGGAA